TGGGGAAAGAGTTAAGTTTATCTTTGTAAATGAGAGATTTGTGTTCTCTAAAATCATGTGAGGGCACTCAGGCTGGGACCAGAGGTACTGTTTGACAATGATTCTGTAAACACCAAAGCCAGTAACATTAGCTGGTGTAACAAAGCTTTTAGTTAAGAAAACAGGGAAGTGTTTCTATCTGGGAGTGGAAGAGCAGTGCCTGGGGAAAATTCAAGTTTCCATACCCTGTTTTGCTCAGTTCTGCCAAGTAGATTATAAGAGCCCTTCATAATTCTCCTTTCAACTCCGTCCAGATACTTTCAACCTCCCTGCAGTGTTTGTCCCACTGTGTTTTACTCTTCCTTTGTTTAAAGGAATATTTACAGTTACAAAGCTTTTATTTTTTTGCTGCTTTAGAGCTGGTGAGGACACTGGTGCAGTATACCCCTCAGTAGAAGATTCCCAAGAAGTGTGTACCACATCTTTTTCCACCTCTCCTCCATCTCAGGTAAGAGAAACCAGGCTCTTTTTACTCCTAGATAGTACAGTTACCATTAGGGTAGTGTGCACACTCCTACATCATCTAGTGTGCAACAGGCAGTGTTCTGCTGCTAATTAAAATTTCATGTGTGGGTTATTTATATCATTATACTCTGAGTGAAACCTGGTTACATAGTAATTTCAAGAAAATGCTAGGGGACTAGAAAGAATGAATTACTGAGAAATTTTTAAAGAACTTATTCCTGTAGCTGGGCTGAGATGTGACTGAAGAGGATAGCAGTGTACTGAGCACATCCCAGTACTACAAGAAGAGAAATCAAAGAGATTGATGCCAGGCATCATAAGTGAAGGCAACAGACTGACAATGAGAAAAGAACACTGAAATACCAGGAAAATGCTTCTGACACAGTCATGTGTTCTGCGTTGCAGAATGGAAAAGCAGGAAAAAGACAAAAGCTGTATTTGTTGGACCATGTAAAACTTGTTGGGGCAGCAGGAATTTTTATCAGCAAACACACTGAGTCACAGTATTGAATTAGAAACTTAATACTGTCTGTGTCCACCTATGCAGGCAAATTTCATATAAGTTTCAATTTTAAAATACATAGTAATGGTTTCCTTCTGAATCTCAAAAAACAGAAACTCCAATTCCTCCTTCTTTTACTGTCCCTATATATCTGACTCCACAGTTCTGTATCTTGAAGACTTGGCCAGGTTTGCTGCTTTCCTATAGCTTTATATATTCAAGAGTGTTCTGCTTTGTGGTCTAGCCAAGCAGATGACTCTACTGAATTTAAATACAACCTAAAGATTCTAAATCTCTTTTGCTGTGGATGTGAAACATAGACTGCTGTTCCAAACTGAAAGAATTTTGCTATGGATCTTTCCACTGCTTTGGAAGAATTAGTATGACTGATTTAGCAGAATGTATTTTACTGTGTGAATGAGCTGGAAATGAGCTTTTCTTAGGAAGCATTTTTGTGCCAAGTGGGTTTTGGGTGACAGAGCATCAGGCAATGTTGAACTCATTGGCCAGCACTCACACTAAGTCTGATGGAATAAAGCTTTTCCTATTGTGCAGTACATAGCCTAGGAGATAAGTTTGTGGCTCAGTTGTGGCCTGACTTTTCACAAAATGGGTTAAATGCCAAAGAGTTTATAAGGAAATTTCCACTGGCTTGCTCATGCCAGTGTTACTTAACAGTAATGGTATACATAAATACATTTCAGTTGGTATTTCCCCAGAGGAGATGAAGCTTTGCTGTCACTGAGGGGAAAAGCTTTATGAAACCAGATGAACCTTGAGGATTGACATTAAGTATGAGCCTACCTTCTTGCTTTTTCTATGGCTCATAGTTGCCATATGCTGTGCACTTATTTATAAAGCAACTGCCAGTCTTTGTTACCACAGTTAAAATTGTAAGGCAGGCTTGGCAGAGTGGTCTCTAAAGTAAATCGGGGGGGAGAAAGCTCATTTCTTTCTCTAGCTATTTATATACAACTTGATTTGTAGGAAAACACTGGGAACTGTGTTTTTCTGTAGGCAAATTGTCCAAATCTCTGCTTGTCTTCCCCCTAGAAATGAGGTCTAACCTGCAGGATACAAGGGAGTAGGAGTTACCTTCTCCCTATAAGCTTGGATAGCATGTCTGTGTGTGTTGTGGAGTAGCCCAGAAGTCAGGAGAAAGTCTGGCCACCTGTAACAGCCAGAAATGAAGCTTTCATAAAACTGAAAACTGTTGGTAGCGAAATTACTGGAAGAAGGTATGGGACTAAACGAGACTTGGATTGCCCTTTTTGCATTCATACCCTTTATGAGATAGTGTTTACTTCTGGAAAGAGTTCTCTCCTCATAACAATGTGTTTCAGTTGCACCTTAGTCTGGGTTCCCTTGATTCTAAGAGTGCAGCGCAGAAGTGCCAAGATACAAACCCTCAGAATTCTGGAAGGTTAGGAGTGTGTATGGGTGAAAAGTACTTAAATACATGTAATTTTTACATTCTGACAAAATTATTCTTGGCTTTTTCTGGCATCCACTCGGCCTTCTCCTTGCAGATTGGCTGGTACCAATTCTAATTAACTGTGGAGCAGTCTCTGGCAGTTACTTTCTGTCAGTGTTCTGGAGTCTAAACTACTACCTGTGTTGAGTGGTTTCACTAAGATTGGTAAACAGTAAATTCTTTACAAAATGGATGTGCTTCTGGCAACACTGAGACTTCTGCTATATGCGTAGGTGTGGCTGCTGCAGCCAAAATCTCTTCTAGCATTCAGTTCATCCAACTCTTTACAGTTCTTCTCTGAAGTCCTTCTCTCTTTCTCTCTCTCTCTTTCCACTCCCCCACCCCCACTCTCTCTTTTTGCCTTGTTTCCTCTGTGTGTCTGTGTCTGCGCACAGTGTGTTTTTACTGTGACAAAGGCACACTTTCAGACCCCTCCTCCTGTGGTGACGGACACCTTGAGGGTCCCAGTGATGGGACTGGCCTTTTCACATCAAGTGAGTTGTCAACAGAATATGCTATACAGGGCCAGATATAGTTCTGGCATGACAGAACAAACACAGGAAAGTACACATTTGATAATGTGGAATATTTGTTGTGTGTGGGAAAGGCTGGTGAACCCAAAAACCCAAAATGGACCGGGCATATTATTGAGACAGGCTGCTTAAGTGCCTTTGCAGATGAAGGTCTCCCAAAGACAGGGCAAGCATCCCTGGATAAACAACAGCTGCTGCAAGAATTAATTGTTAGTGAAAGACACAAGTAGGAATGCACAGTGCTGATGTTTCTCTTAACAGCCAGTGTTCCTAGAACCTGCAGAGGTTAGTTAACAATTTTCCTGGCTTAAAACAGAGGCGGATTTCGAAGGAGGATCGAAGGAAAAAAACAAAGCCCAAAACAAAACTCTGTCTTCATTTGCCTTCCTGGTTACAAGTAACAACTTATGAAGGCCTGAATTACTGTTCTTTGTTTACATCTCACAGGTTTGTCTCAAGTCACGTTCCACATGTTTGTGCAAGTCTCTCACAACTGAGGACAGAGAAATATTTTTTTAAAATAGGAACACTTAGTTACCACAAAATTGCCAGTGGATTTTTAAAGGCAGGTGGAGAATTAAAAGAGTTGGAGGTGAAAAGTTTTATAGTTCCAACAAGTGTAAGACAGGACTTGGAAAATGGTTAAAGAATGGAGAAACATGGCTGTAGATAGTAATGATTTCTTACATAGGGGTAATACCAGTGGCAACAATCTCTAGAAATCCTTAAGGGATTTCTACAGGAAGATGAGTGTAAAGTAATCATCAAAGCAACAGTTCTTCACAAGCAGTCAAGCTGGCTGTATAGCTTTAGGAACAAAACTTAGTACAGCTGTTCTTCTCTAAGAAGAGATTTCTTCATTGAGCTTAACTAGCCTCATGTGAATAAAAGTGCTGTTGATCACTTAGGCCCTTGTGAACTCTGTCAGCATTGGTGCTGCTGGGTTATCACATGCAGATATTCCTGAGGTCAAGCAACCCAAAACAGGAAAGTTCTGTTTAATCTGACAAGCTAGATTTCCACTTAGGGTGGGTGTCTAAGGAACTTCTCCTGGGTTTCATGGCTTTCAGCACTTCATTCCTAAAGTAATCTTACAGGCTTCCCAGTTCTCTTTACCTAGAATGTTTATGGGACTCTAATCTTTGGCTGAAAGTATTTGAACAGACCCTGAAGAGCAGCTGTTATAATGTGCAATGGGAATAGATTCACAGTTGATAATGCACTTGCTTTGGGGGAATAATACTAAATATTAGCTCTTTAATAACTTGATGATGGCATTCATGCTTTTTCCAGTACATGAAACAGGACTGTAGAGCGGAGCTTTCCTATGACTGTATGTCAGTCATACCTTGCACAGCCTTCTCCTGTGTGTATAGGAAACCAGTCTTGTTTTTACGTCCAGGCCCAGACTTAGTCCCCTGCAATAAGAACTTTTTAAAATAATAACCTTCATGATTGATTCCAATTAAAATCTATCATCCTTCAGCCAGCCTGAAATGCTGTGCTGTGCCTCTGACTTTCCCCATTCCTTCTTCAATGACTGATGATTATTCAGACTGTGGGGCACTCCCCTTCCCCTCTCCTCTCCCTTTGCCCTTCTTGTTTTTTCTCTTCTTCCTTAGCTTTCCAGCTCTCGTCTTTCCTATCAGCCTGGTGCCCTGGGAGTTGGATCAGCTGACATGGGGTATCCTGTACTCTTTGCTGGTGGCTTGAATGCTGCACACCCTCACCAGGTACTTGTAGAGGGTAGAACAAGCGTGGCTGGTATTGCAACCATTATGGGTCCCTGGTACATCTGAGAGAGGCCTTGGAACTAGTGCATGCATTGGTATCCTGTCTGTCAGGAGTGGAAAGAATCTACAGTAAACAGAGAAAGCACAACTTGCACAGGAGGTGGGAATTGGCTCCTCAGTATCCTCAACTTTGGGGTAGGGTAGGGGGCATGTGGAGAAACTGTGCCAAGAGAGAAGGCACTAGATCTGTTTGCAGGCACCAGAGTGACAGTGACTGCAAGTTTTGCCTGTCTGACAGAGCTGCTACCCCTGTAGCTGTCCAAGCACAGCACTGTAGCCTAGACACAGAGTACACTGACAGTCAGTCCTAACTGACACATTTGCGTGTTAATTTGTTCATCAGACAAATTAAGCTGACAGAAGTCATCTTCTGCCTGCAATATTGTTTCTACACCAGAGTTTTGCTGACATAGGGCTGGTAGCAAGAGGATATGATGTTTTTTTCCCCCCTCTCTCCTTGAAGCAGAGGACCTCTGCAGTGTAAAAGAGGCCTGGAGTGGAATAGGAAGGGAATGAAAGAGTTTGTATTGTGGTGATCACCTTCTACGCCTACAACCCAATCAAGTGCCAAAGACCCCACAACTAGTCCTGGAATGACAGAATCTGCTTTGTATTGCACTGTGGTTCTGGACTGATTTTGAAATCTCTAACTTGACTGTTCCTCTCCACCTCAGTTGATCGGTCCAGGCAAAGAGGGGGGAGTTCCCCCGATTCCTAGCCAGCCAGCACATGGGACTCAAGCTGACCAAGAGAGGATGTGCACCCCACTGGATGGAGTCCACTACTCAGCAGCTACTCCTTCTAGCAGGTAGGATAGTTTTAGATGATTCAGCACTTGTGCTAGCCCATTTATGGTCCTGTTAAGATAAAAGTTTGTGTTTTCCCCTTTGTAGCTGTTGTTTGTGGCATAACTACTGCATTTGCATCCCCAGAAACAACTACCAGCTTTCTCTGCTTTGGGCTTTTTTAGCCTTTCTCCAAAAAATTATTTCACCCATCTACTTAGACCTGTTACATCCTTGCAAATTCTGTTATGTCAGTTTTAACTTTATTATCAGTTTTATTGTTTTTTAATCTCTCTACTCTTTTTGCTGATTGTAAAACAAAAAGATGAAGGAAGTTTACAAGTGAGTCTTAACTTCTCCAGAGACTTCATGTGAATTGTTACTGAGAATAGGTGTAGTTATCACAGATCTGTTCACTATTTTATTAAGAAACTTGAAGCACAAAGTTACCTGGAAGGAAACAGTGCAACCTCAAACTGTCCTAAAGTACCTCCCTCTCAGCTAATTTTTTTTTTTTTTCTTTTTTTTTTTTCCCTCTGAACTTCTTTCTTGTGAAGTCCCTCTTGGGGCCACATAGTTCTGAGTCTAATATCTTAAGTGGAGATTCTTCTGTAAGGAAACCAGAAATCACAGTTGTACCAGCACTTTCCTGGGTATGCTCTCTAGATTGTCCTCCTGCTAGAAGACAATAATCTTGTTTTTTTGTTTTAAAGTTCTGAGTACTTCCCATGGGAATAAAATGGGTCATAGAAATAACTAACAGCCATGCAGAGAATTAATCATACTGGCAGTGACTGTTGTGATGTGTTAGACTGCTGCCTTTGTAACCTCATTGACAGACATCATTCTGGTTCCTGCCCTCACAGCCTCTCCTGACAGTTCTGTGACTGCTGTGTTACTGGAAAAATTAGAAGTGATGAACAGGAATTGCTGTGAATGTGCATGTTCTGAAGTTAAAAGTCCATCTCTAAAAGTCTGTTTCAGTTGGCAGCAACCTTTCATTCAACTGATTAGCTTTCATCCCCCTTTAAACAAAACCAGATTCCATGAGTGTCCCACTCCCCTTTTTTGCTCATGACTAAGGTAGAAGGTGTGGTGCAAGGACAGAGATTTCTGTTGTCCTTCCAACACTAGGAGTAAATCCAGAAAAATAAGGGAGTCTTGTAAAGCATGTGGTTTGTCTATCTTGTTTGTGCCATGAGACACTACTTTAGTCTTTTCCTCCCCCAGCGAGGACACAGAAACAGTATCCAACAGCAGTGAGGGGAAGTGTGGGTCCCCACATGACCTTTTGGAGACCATCTTTATCCGGAAGGTGGGAGCTTTTGTCAACAAACCCATTAATCAGGTAAGTAGCAGTAGATTTTGTCAGGGGGCACCATAATACCCCACTTCTCCCGTCTGTTTCTATGCAGAGAAGCAAAAAGCACCCCAATGCCAGGGCAACCCTGGAGACCAAGAGTGCATAATCCTGCCTGCTGCATTTCCTTACAGAGGCTTGTCACAGGCTCATTTTTCATAAAAACCTTCTGGGATGTGTCAGCCATTGAATTTGCTTCTCTTTGCTAACACACTGTTTGGGCATGAAGGACTTGATGCTCCACTTGGGTCTCAGGACAATCTGCCACTACCACAGGTTCATAAACTGGGGAAGCTGTTAGCAAGCCTCCCTTCTCTGCAGGGATGTGCAGTACACCTGCTCAACACAAATGAGCAAGCATTTTTGCTCATCTAGGGCAGCCTAACAATCTATCTAGTTCCTAGGGCTGCTCTTAATTTAAGCCCTCTTCTAGGCCTTTGGATGGTTGAAAGGGAATTGTAGCAGTTTGTTAATCCTTTCCTGTATTATATGAGATGTATACAAGCAATCCCACCTCAGGGTATATATCTGCATGAAGTCAGCTGAGTACAATCTCCTCATTATATGCTTTTTAAACAACATTGTCAGCCTCCCACCTAACTGCTGACATGATCATGGGCAAATTTTATCAGGCCTGATAAAGACTTTGAATATCCTTTTTTGTGCTGGGTAAGCAGAGCATCTTAGTGAAATTTTGTTTGCTGAATCTCCTCAGGTGACCATGGCCAACTTAGACATTCCTTTTGCCATGTTTGCTCCCAAGAATGTTGAGCTGGAAGATAACGACCCCATGGTAAGCCTCTTCCAGAGGTAAAATATGTGCCTTCTCAGCATCCCTTAAGCAATATCCGTGCTATTCCCTCCTTGATTACACTTTAGTTTTTGAACAAAGAAATAGTTACTCACTTTTGGTTTCAGGAAATCTGTGTTGAGTCTTGGCCTGTTTAGACTTGTAAATAACAGTTTGTGCTTGCTGCCCCTGCTGTAGCATAGATTTATTGTCCAACTTCATAACTGCCCTCACAATGTCAAAATACACAGACAGACATGATCACGAGGTCAGTACTCACCATCTTTGCTTTATTGGGCAGGTCAATCCTCCTGACTCCCCAGAAACTGAATCTCCTCTACAAGGCAGCTTACACTCGGAGGGCTCCAGTGGCAGCAGCACAGGGAACACCCACGATGACTTTGTTATGATTGACTTTGTAAGTGCCCTCATTGTTACTCTCACATAACACCTGCATTTGAGAGGGGTTTCAGGTGCTAGTACAACTGTAAATTATGTAAGAGTAGTTTTCAGTGGGGTTGGAAAAAGACTCATGGTTCACAATTCCAAACCAGAGCCTGACAGTCCCAAAATGGCCAAGACACTGATCTTTGGAAGCAACAGCTTCCTTGCCAAGACCTGGACTTGGTGTCCTGTCTCTAATGCCTAAAGGAGCCATATTCCAAGGCAATGCTCTCTTCCAAGTGCTCAGGCAAACACAGATTTGGCTCTTCAGTTATTTACTCTGCATTATTGCAGCAACAGTTGTAACACCAAGATGTTTACTGATAGCAGGTGATGACTTTACCTGAGATTATGGCCAAGGGGAAGCCCATGTCTCTGGCTGGGAAATAACAGCAGTATCTTTGATTCTAGAAACCAGCATTTTCAAAAGATGACATTCTTCCAATGGACCTGGGGACATTTTACCGTGAGTTTCAGAACCCCCCTCAACTCAGCAGCCTCTCCATTGACATTGGAGCACAGTCCATGGCAGAGGATTTGGTATGGAAACCTGAAATTTCTGTTTGTGGCAATCATATGTTTTTATATAATACTCTCCCTATTCCTAGTTTGAAAAAAGTGGTGTCTTCATAGAATGATAGAATAGTTTGTGTTGGAAGGGACCTTTAAATGTCATCTAGTCCCACTGCCCAGCAGTAAGCAGGAACATCTTCAACTAGAGCAGGTTCCTCAGAGCCCTGTCCACCCTGATCTTGAATGTACCACTTCTCTGGGCAACCTATTCTAGTGCTTCACTACCCTCATCATAAAAAATTTATTCCTTATATCTAGTCTAAATCTACCCTCTTTTAGTTTAAAGCCATTACCCCTTTAAACAATTACCTTCTATGACAACAGGCCCTGCTTAAAGTCTGTCACCATCTTTCTCATAGGCCCCCTTTAAGTATTGAAAGGCCACTGTAAGGTCCCCCTGGCGCCTTCATTTCTCCAGACTGAACAACCCCACCTCTCTCAGCCTGTCCTCACAGGAGAGGTGCTCCAGCCCTCTGATCGTTTTTGTGGCCTCCTCTGAACTCACTCCAACAGCTCTATTGTTTTTCCTGTACCTCTCAAGAGAGGCTCTGCCCAAAGGGGGGTTCCTCACTAATGTATTCCAGACCAATGCAGATTTGTTTGTGGCACTCTTGAGCCTTTGAAACTGTGTTTATCTTCAAGCTGGAAGCTGCTGCCACCACGTCCTTGCTGTGGCTGTCATTCAAACCCCCAAAACTAATCCTACCTCTGGTGTGTCAAACTTCGTGACAGACTAGGCCTGATCTTGCAGCCTGAGCAGAGGTGAAATCCTGGGGTGGCTGGTGAAAGTTATGTCTGGGTGAGAGCGGTATTGGGCTTGCAGGCACTGTAACATGCTGTGGAGAAAAGTGAACGTGAAAGGCTGGGCTGCAAGTGCCTTGATGAAGGCAGTGACAGAAGTAGGTTGCTGTGCTGCAGCTCATGGCAGGAACTGCACAAGCAAGGCCCTGGTGCCCCTCTGTTCCTGCAGAACACACACACTCTAAGCAGAGTGCCCTTCCCAGGGTCACTTGCTGGACACTGCTAGAGGACTTCTGGTTTATTGCACATGGGAAGAGGAGCCCAAAACAGTGGGGGGGGGGAGGGGGGGGTTGCAGGATTCAGAAACAGATTTTTATGCCTAAGAGTGTGTGCTTAAAGCTTCCTTCTATCTGCTCTGAATGAATCCTCATGTACACCCTTCTTTCCCCTTCCAGGACTCGTTACCAGAGAAGCTGGCAGTCCATGAGAAAAACGTCAAGGAGTTTGATGCCTTTGTAGAAACCCTGCAGTGAAGCTGGTTTCCAGTTTTGCTGCAACAGTTCTTCCTCAAGGCATCCTGGAGATTGACATCACCATCTATCTCTGTCGCCCCTGCTCTGCCTTTTGTCTCATTTGGACTAGTTCCTTCCAACAAGTGAGCTTTCTTTGATTGCTCTCTTCAACAGCAGATACAGCTCACCTGCTCATTTTCCTCAACTACACCACCACATAATTCTGGACTGCTTTTCCTGCTCACAGTCAGTTTTGAATTTCAGACTTCAGTAGGGATGCAGGAAGTCAAACTCCAATATATGGAACATCTTCTCCTGTCTCTGTTCTCTGTGGAGGGGCTTTGTGAGAAGTTCCCATATGCTTTCTCCAAAGGTCCTATGGTGTAAGTTTCTCTAGGTATAGCTTCTTCCTAACAGACTTGTTCCTACAGTCTCCAATCCTGTTAGAGCATAGAAAGCTTTGGCTCATTTCCGAGGTGAGTTCAGCAGAATTGTTTTATTGGAATTTTCATCCTACAGTCCAATACTTGAAAAAGACCAATTATCTATTATCCGGTTTATATTCTGCCTCATGTTCGGTTCAACAGTGCATTATTTTGATTTTGTGGCAAGTAATTATAGCATTCTACTTTCCTTCCAGTTGGCCCAGCCTGCCAGCCCAGCCCTGAGAGCTGCTGTGCCTCAGCCCCCTCCAGCCCCTGATTAAGGCTCAGCAGGCTCAACATTAAGTCCTGGAACATCCATTCCGCAGAGCGGGGCATTTCATCCTGACTTCAGTGTGAGTGCCTGGAGCCCAGGGAGAGACATGGGCTTTGGGACCCGTGTAATATAAGTTACCTGATTTTTTTAATTTTTATTTTCCTGCTGCTAAGGAACTGGGTCTCTGCAGTCACTTTGTGTGAGGCCTTCTGGTGGGCTGGGAGGCAGGAGTGAAACTACAGAAGCACTTCCCACATTTCCTTCCTGAGTGTGCTGACACTCGGCCTTGCTGGGTTTACCAGTGGTGACTGTTGGCAAACCTGCACCTAGCAGCTGTGATGATGCTGAATTCAGAGTCTGCTTTTGAAATGTAACTGTAAATACTAGAAATCCTATTTCTTTAGGGTTATGTAACTAGGAGTCTTAGTCCAAGATTCTTCCCTCTAACCCTTGCAAACCTTCCTGCTTTATGGTTAATAGATGATCTTAAGAATCAAGAAATATTTATTGCTTTAAAAAAAAAGCCCTATATTTAAAAGATGTTCTGTTTTCATGTAGTAGTGCAAGTCATTCTGCCCTGGATCACTGCAGACAGCAAGTGTGTCATGGAACCCTGGCCAGTGAGACTGGTCTCTCTCTGCAGGATATTTATTTTCTAAGACAGACTTTATTATAATACAATACTCTGTTTTGGGGACTGTGTGTCCATTGAATCTGGTCAGAGCCCGCTGACAGAATGAAATGCACACATCAGTGCAGTGGCAGGGACTTGGTGAAAAGCTGTGTTCTGATAGGTGTGGATGAATTTGCAGTGTTCTTCAGCCATTCAGAAGGCAGCTTCTTTTAAAGAAGCACATTTTTGGGGAGCTTATGGTACTTTTTAATCAGCTGGCTTTTGATGAGCTGAAATTTTATTTTTGTAATGAGCTGGCTACTAACAGTATGGCCAGCAGTGCTCTGTGGCTGATGTGTACTTTTGCTTGGGTAAGGATGGGAGGAGAAACAGTGACACTAAACGGAAGCTTAGATAAGGTAGGTCTTTGTGGTTCTCTCTCCTCCTCCTGTGTGTAATGAGAGGGAGCAACTGCAAGACCCCTTACTGTCCAAAAACACCTTTTTTCTTTTTTTTTTTCCCTTTCCCCAGAAGAGGAGGGGTCATGTTGCCTCAGTACTGAGGAACTATTTTAATTTTATTAGAGTGGCTGAGTAACCAGCCTTGTGGTTAGTGTGATGTGGCAGCTTCTTTGACTTAGCTGTATTCTTAATTGAAAGAGATAGCTAGCGGATGACAAGGGAACCCCACCTCTTCTCTAGAACACTATTTCTGTACCACTGCAAGAGCAAGGAACTAAGCTGAGAACAGAGCTTACAGTAAGGTCAGAGCTACACAATACTTTGAACTTTCCCAGTTGTTCTTGTTGACTGATGTGTTTGGTGGGAGGCCATATGAGCTGTAAAACTAGAGAAGAGCTTTACTGAAGGACAACCTACTCAGCAGGGCCTTTTTAGCTCACTCAGCCAATTCAGCTTTTCAGCAACCTCACACAGAAATTGCTTAGTCCTTGCAAATGAGATGCACAAACAGTTAAAGCTTCCAAGACAAGCAGCTTGCAAGAGGGCTTAAGTTACATGAGTTTTAACAAATAAAACCACCTTGTTTTACAGGTGGAAATGCTCATAGAAGGGTTCAGGAACACAAGGAATTAATGGAACAGCTGGGACTCACCTCTGCTCAGAAGTGGTCTCTGCCACCTTGTAGGAAGTAGCTCACAGATGGGTGGTTGCTGTCACCTTATCCTAACATACAGGCTGTGCTTGGGAAAGCAATGCAATCTGGGGTGCAAAGCAGCAGAGATGGGGTGAAGTGCTGGTTCACACTGTATTCATGGAGAAGACTAGACCAGGTTGAACTTCATCTAGCCAGTGCTACTGCTGTCCTCTTCTCCCACTGACAAGCTGTGGAGCTGGCAGAAAGCATCCCATTCTTGCTCATCCCCTCTAGAAGGTCCCATGAGCCAAATACTTGTGTTTGTTGATGCAGTTCCTAACATGGCTACAGCTCCCACATCTCATAAGGCAGAATGTCAGTGTGGGGTGGGTTTTTTCTACTTCAAAAGGCTGGAAATTTGCCTATGTAAGCTGCTAGTGTTGGGCTGGATGGCCATAGCAATAAAGAGATTCTTTGGGGCTGAGTTATGTGCCTCTTTTCTGGACATTCCTCAGCTTTTAACACATAGTTGCTACACATAGGCTCTGAGTTTCCTGACCACTGCACAAAAGCTGTGCTTCAGGAAAGATCTAGCTGCTGCTGTGGCCTGCCACAGATTGTGTTATGAAGGCTGTTTATTTTAGCAGCTGTCTGCTTGAATCTATATTAAGGACAGTATGTATGTAGCTGCTGATTTACAGATACTTTGGGTGAAGGGGAAGGCTCCCAAGTTGTATTGTTTTGGAAGTAGTCTCCAATGTACTTCAAGTATTCAAAGAATTTCCAATAAAACTTTTACGTAAGCAACGCTGTTTTGTGCTTTTCTTTATGTTTTTCACTGGGAGTCCCAGCTGCTCAGTTTTTCTCCTCCAGGAATGGGATGGTCAGAGAGCCACCTGTCAGTGAGTGCAGGATGAGTAAAGGGCACTGGTGGAGTGCTCAGCAGCATGCTGGTGAGACCATCTTCCTGGAAGAAGGACAGTAAGGAAAAGACCTGTCTCCAAAAGACAGTGGTGGGAAAAGAGAAAAAAACCCACAACCCACCAGCAGAATTTGCATTGTATTTTGTTGTTCCTAGCATACTTAAAGAGAGCGTGAGAATGTTTTGATCTGCTAGAAGACTTAGAGCCTAATAAGATGTGGAAAGAACTAATGTGGTTATCCCAGCAGCAAGGAATGTTAGTGACAGAGCACACTGCTTGCAGTGTGGTGTTCACGCCTGTCTGATAACCAAACCTAACAACTGTATTCTAGTACTGCTTAAAGTTAACCCTGCATGGCACAAGATGCCATGTAATCTGCTAACAGCTTCCCTTGAAAGAAAAGACAAGACAAGATGGTAAAAGTTTGTGTAAATGTAACAACTACTGATGTAAGCTACAGTGTAAAGGGTGTCTGGTTGTTGCAAAGAAGCAACAGTGGATGAAATGGTAGGAATGAAACAAAAAAAAAGAAAAATGACTGTGCATATTGGAAGCATCTATAAAGGGAAATATTCCACTTTGGAAAACAATATTTTCATAAACTTATCTTCAGGAGTCAATACAGTGTCCCATTTCAACCTTGAAGACACTGATCAATCTATGTTATATTGAGTATCATTTTACGCACTTAAAGACCACACAAGGTGGGGAGAGATGAATGGCAGGTAAACTCCCATAAAATGTCCTGTGGGATCTGGGCCTTATTGCAGGGCCTTCAGGGTCTACCCCCTTCACCATGTCACCAGTAAGACAAGGGATTGAAAAAACCATCAGTCATAGAATGATGAATCATCAAGGTCATGAGCAATCACACCATCCAGGTGTGAGGCTATTGTACTTATTTTAAAGACACAGTCTCAGAATAATGTCCTTTAAGGCAGCCGGGCAGTTACACAGGAAAACCAATCCAGCTGCAATGGTGTTTATTCTAAGTTCTGATCCTGTGGTTGCATGTAGAGTCTGTCCTGCCTACTACAGCACTACGGCAGGGACACCTGCTCCCGAGCTCCTCTGAGGCCAAAGCACAACCCCAGCAGCGCTGGTTCACTGACCAAGCCCAGAGACAGGGCCAACTCCTGCGCTCCCGGGAGGTTTGAGGTACTGCAGTTGGCACAGTACACGCTGAGCCCACTGTGGGGGGGTGGTGGTTTCAGCACCAGCCAAGGGGTGGGAAAGCAGAGACTGTAGCCAAAAGCACATGAAAAGACCCCAGAGAAATAAGCGGACCTCTCAAGCCTAGAACTGACAGACTGCTCAGTAAGTTACAGCAGGCAATGAATAAATCAGACAACAAGAACCATACGCAAAGCATTAACTGACTAGATGCCAACAATATGTCTGGCTGCTTGTGAATGGCTGACAGCCTCACAAGTCATGCTGAACAACAGTCAACATGCAAAAGGAGAACTGGCACCTCTGGGAAGCCCTTCCTTGGACAGTTTCAGTACTAACAACTGAAAGGCAGGGTGCTGCTGTGGAAATGCAGGTGTTGCCATTGGCATCACACATCACCCAGACCCCATGGCCCCTCGCCAGTGCTCAGGGTGCTGCTTGGTGGTGATGCTTTTAGCTTCAGTGCTCTCTGTTCTACTCCTAGTCTCACACTCACTATTAAGTTCACTTGTGGCTACACATATTATTAATTGTAGTAATCTCTTTGCCTATAAGAGCGTTTTTACTGGCCAAAAAGCTTATTGATGTAACCAGCAAATGAGTGTCTTTAGGTAAAGGTCATGAACTGTGTGCAAAGGATGGAGTAGAGTGGTCCTAACCAACAGATTATTGTACATCAAGGAGTTAGTGATCCACATAGATTGAGACAAGAAAGTGCAGGCCTCTGCTGCATGTATCACCTAGCCACAGGCTAACCTTAGCCAGCTAACCCTAACTGGGAAGCCTCCAGGTGGGTCCTGCTTGGCAGCTGGTGATACCTGTGCAGCTGTCTGGGTCTGCCTCTGAGAAAGGGCAATCCTAGACAGATTGCTCATAATGACAGGGAGACTGCAACATGGAAGCCCAGCCCTGTTCAGGAAAGAGCCAAACTAGCAACACTTCATTTTTGTTTGAATTTTGTTTTCCAGCCTGAGGCTCCAGCAAACTTGTATTTCTTCCCCAAGTTACACACATAAGAGACATTTCATATTCACTTTCCTCCCCTCTCTGCATGCTTGTGGCAGCATAGCCAGCCTTACCTCAGTTTTTTGTAGACGTGCCACAGCTACTCCCCCTCGACAGACACAGTGGGATCTGGGATTACATTTTTATTGAAATACAAAAAGTGCAAACTGTGAAATATAAGATTGGTGCAGATTAGAAAGACATACACAATGTGAACCATGAAAACCCCAGTCCTGCACCTGAACAATATAAACAGAAAAGAAGGCAGGGAACAACAGCAACAAAAGCAAAGCCAGAACTTTGCACGGGAGCCCCCGTGCATTAAAGAGGAAGCAAGGGCCAAACTGGCCCTTGGCTCTCTCTCAAATTAGCAAATGTTGCCATAAGGCATCCAGATGACCCAGCACCCCCTGCACCACCCAAAAACTTGAATGTCAATACACAGCTTGGGCCAGGGAGCAGGGAGTGAGCAGAGGCCACTAAAGACAGTAGGAGGTTTAGCAGAGGGGAATGGTCTAGGTCCTAAAACGCAGAGGGTCGAAGTGCAACAAGTACCCCCACAGGGAGAAATGGCTAATAACTAACCTGAAAGATGAGCCAGGGAAGAGACCCTTGGGCACCTCTACAGCAAGCAGAAAATGGACAAAGACCAGCACCCTAACCAGATACTACCCCCCCAGCTTGGAAAATAAACCCAGCACGGCTAGTGCTCTGGCTTTGTGAGGAAGCTGACCAGGCAAGGAAGGGATTTAACCCCCTGGGCTTGGCAGATGCAGGTTCTGGTAGCCACCCACCCAGCAGAGGCTGCAGGCAGGCCCAGGCCAGTTCCTTGCTCAAATCACAGGAGGGATATTTCAATACAAGGCATTCAGGAGAGCAGACTGCAGAAGCAAAAGCAGCCCTGGTTACTGTGCCTGCTCCAGGGCTCTCAGCAGCTCCGCACAAGGAGCGGGAGAAGTGAGGGGATATTTACACTCAGTCCCTTCCAGGATTTGCAAGCACTTTCCCACCATGAGCAATAGCAGCTTCCTGAATACCCTCCAAATCTGCTCCCTGCAGGCACTGAATTGGAGCAGGCTTTTATCCCTGCCTGCAGGGGATGCACCAGGCTCCATTTTGCTAAATAAAGGAAACTGTATTTCAAGAATTCAGTTGATGAAAAAAAAAAAAAAAGGCAAGAAAGAAAAAAAAAAGCACCCACCAAAAATTCCAGCCAAAACAGGGACACTTGCAGCAACCCCTGCTGTACCTCTGGAAAGGAGCTAATCTACCCCAGCACTGCTTTTTCCTTACTACTGGGCAGGGATATGGCTGCTCTGCAGGGCTGGACTTTGCCACCCTCCCGGGGGAGACAGGGCTGTGCTTCATGCCCCAGCACACAGGCACTTCCTGATCCAAGTTGCTGACCTTGGGTTGTCTCCTGCTGTCCCAGCAGAAAGGACCTGGATTTGCCTTTGCTCTAGGGGTTGTGAGGCCAGTGTCAGCTGCAGATACAGTCATACCAAGTCTCCCCTCCCCATTCTGAGGCCTACATAGAGTTGGGTGTCTGCAGGGAAGGAGGGGTTGCACTGGGCTCCCTCCACCTCCACAATCCTCCCAGGCTGTCCAGAAAGCCTGGCCTCTTCAAACAAACACTAGGGCAAGTACAGCTCTCTCCACACAGTCCATCCCAGGAGATTACTCCTCCACAGCACATCAGCCCTGCTAACTTAACCTAGCAGAGATCACAGATGAAATAGGACCCGAGTATTTCTACTTCCAAAACATTTACTTGGTTACTGCTGTGAACTACCCAGGCCGAAACAATTCATATCCTGACCAACCAGGATAGACTCCCTACTCTTGGAACAAGAGGGAGACTAAGCAGCTTTGTAGCCTCCAAAGGGCAAAGTCCTTCAGTAACTAGAAGGGATCAGACCCAGCCCTCTCCTGGAACATCCCCTGCTCCAGCTTAGAACTGCTCAGTTTCTTGCTCACTGTCCCCACCCACATGTTGGTGTTCCTGCTTCAAGCCAGCTGGGTGGACCTGCACTGCTCCACAGAGCTGCCTACCTTCACACCCATCCCTGTTCCAGAGCTTGGCAAAAAGAACAACTTCTCTAATTCCTGTAACAGATGTCACTTATTTTTATTACAACTGAGGGAGGCTAAAATATTATGAAAAACAAATTATATTTAGCATCCAGTAGCTTTAAAAAAATTAATTGTTCTTGGTCCAAAAGATTTGTCTCTGTGGCCAGATGCAACACAGAGGACTGGCCCAGGCGTACAGGGTAAAAGATAAAAAGATATAACACATGAGTGAAGTAAGGCTAGAAGTTCCCTCCTAACACCCTGCTGGGTGGGCCCAGGCTCAGAAGAGATTCTCTTCTAGCTCAGGTAATGGGAATGCTGCAAACCAAAACCAAGAGTGATGTCCTAACAGCATTGTAACTGCTTTGGGAAGGTGCCAGGCCCACCCTGCTCTGAGCCTGCCTTGCAGACAACTCCCTCTCTCCAGCCATACCCAGGGCATACAGGATGCATCTGAACAGGCTTCCATGGTAGGACAGAAGAAAAGTATGAGTTGAGGAGGAGACGGGGAAAAGGCCCTTGGCATGATGGAATAGCTGTTCCTTCACAGCTTTGGCACATGAGTGCTCAGAACCTGGGCAGAAATTCATCATCCAGGCCTGGTGCACTGGAGAGTGAGGGCTAGCCCCAGTCTCTAGACCTTCCCTCAAGGCCATGTTCTCTGTTACACTGTGTTGGAAAAAGTTCTGCTCAAAAAGGTGATTAGCCAAGGCAGTCTGTGCCAGCCAGCACAGATACACATGCCTGGCAGAGGGGAAGAGGACTTGTGCTGCTGCCACAGGCAAACACAGAGATCCTCAGTGTTGAGCAGTTCAGTGCCACCAGTGCACTTGCTCCCTGCCATTCAGGCTCACCAGCTGTCAAAGGGCCACAGCCAGCAGTCCCACACTGCCAGCACCCCCACACAGCCGCGTCTGGCACAAACCTGCCCAGCCAGGCTGCAAGTGCTGTTGGAAGGACAAACACACCTGACCTGGGGAACTACAGGAGGCACCACACCCACTACACCCCAGCAAACACCGAAGAGTATCTTGAGTAGGTGGTCCCACAGGGGTTTGAGCTGAATTCAGCTTCCTTGTACTGCAGTCTGACAGGTAATACAGCCCATGTGCCATAAGCCTGTCCTTCACTTGCCTGCTAAAAGCATGGGGTTTGCAAGTGCAGGAAATGCTGCTACCTGAAGCACAAGGGCTGCCTGGCTCCCTTCCCTGCTTTAGGTGCCACTGGGGAAAGGCAGGATGCACATTCAGTGCTGAGAGATGGCACTGGCATCAAGAACATCTCTGCCACCAAACCCAGCAAGCTTGCCCTAGCCCAGACAGCCCAGCTGTGGCAAGGAGGGGTGAGCTGGGGCTGTTGGGAGCTTAAACAAAAGAAATCTTTGCTGAGGAAGGGACCAGGAGGGCAGAAAAACTGCATGGGAGGGAAGGAGGAAAGGAAGGCAGATAATCTGATAGGGCAGCAGACTGGTGATGAGCCCTGGAGGTGCTGCACAGACTGGCAGGTGGGTTAGGGCTCCACTCTCAGCAGCTGGGAGAACAGCTCCCCTCCCCATCTGGAGCAGCAGGTCTCCTGCTCATCTATTTACACACCTTCTCCACCATCTCCACAGCCCTCACTCTGCTCATCACCCAGAGGATCAACGGTCCCTTTGCACTGGAGGCAGCTTGGTCACAGCTCCAAGACAAGGTGGGAAAGAAGATGGGAAGGTGGGCACAGTGTGCTGGCCTGGTTTCAGGCCTCCACATTCTCAAAGAGCTCCTTCTGGTGGTCGAGCAGGAACTTAGTAAAGGTATTGATGGGGTTGATGGCTTTTAAGGTAATGGCTACATCTTTGGCCCACAGCAGATTTGGGCCAAACACAACTGCCAGGTTGGTGTTTGTCATCTTGTTTCTGTCACTGTGATCAGAGACCTATGTCAGAAGGAAAGAAATCAGTGTGAATCCTCCAGAACAACACAGCAGCTGCCCTTCACCCTCCCCAGAGCCAGACCTGACACACTCCCAAGGGAAAACAGGACAGAAGCTGAAGACCCAGTGCCAGAAGATGGCTGGGGGAAACATGTGATCCAGCAGTGAGGAGCAATATCTTGCCATTTGTAACTATGGCTTAAGCACCAGGCCATATCCTGTCAATAGGCCCAAGAGCACTGTGAGCCAGTATCTCTACAGTCCAAATCACCATTCTAACTAAACGATCTTCCCTCTTGCAAGAATAGCCTTGCAGTGGCTTCCCTGGCAGCAGAAAGTTCTGTAGGATGGATCTGAGACCCCTCTTTCTAGTCTAATCTTCTACTCAGATATTTTGCAGTTGTACATCCACCCTGGGGAGCTTTTCAGCCTTCCTGGTACAGACCATACAGGCTTAATGCCCACCTGCACCTCCCAGTGTTATAAGAAGCAACTGCTTAGGCTGGTTCATCATGACCATTCTTGATCTCTGTATAACAAGAACAGAAGGTAAAGAAAAGCGATTTCCAAGCTTGAGACCCACTTCCTCTCAAAGGAAAAGAGGGAGCAGGCAGTCAAAAAACTGATTCAGGACACTAGCAACTGAACTAGAAAACTAGCTCACCTGCACCAGAAAGGCTGTCAGTAAATGGAGCACTTCATAGTTTTCTTCTGGCAGAGTCTGGAGTGTTTTGCGAACAACAGCCACACGATTCACCTCCTCCACACCTGAAAATCAAGAGAAAAAGGACAAGTAGATCCATAAGGAACCCTCAGCACCAACCCTGATGAAAACTCTGTTTTCAGTCACAGGGTATCCCAAGCAGGACTGCCCCCTCTGAAGGTATCTTTGCCCTTGACCAGTGCAACATCCAGGGAGTAGCACACTCTTGTTAGAACTCACTCTGGAAGTTGACAACATGGCTGTAGAGGCCAAAAGTGAGGAGAGGCTCAGGCAGCTCCCTCAAGAAGGTCTTGAGAATCACAGCAGGGAGGTGGACATCTTCATACTGCTGGAAATCCACAGGCATGCCTGAGAAGACAGAGCAGAAGGATTCAGTGCTCACTGGCCAAAGCAGGTCCTTCTCCAAAGAATGGGACTAGTTCCAACACAGTTCCAGCTGTACAGTAGTCATTAGGGGATGAGAGGGGCTCTGCTGCATTTGGATACTTACCCATGTTGTATTTTTGCTGGACCTCCCTGACAACCTGCGTATTTGCCGATCTGCGGAAAATCCCCTCTGTAGTGAGAGCTGTGAAGTGAGAGCAGATGGAGAAGGTCACCCACATGAGTCTCTGAAAATGTTCGTCTTAACAATCATAAGTCCAAGCTGTGGGGCATTCAGACAGATGTCAACAAGCCCATTTTTTCAGAGTACAGCCATTCTTTCTGCTTCTGCTACCAGGCAAAGGATACAAGGAACATTTTGCTACTGTTACACAAGTGGGACTACAGACAACTGGAAGACAAGACATACCCTCAGCCCTGCACAATCTCTCTTGAAAGCTAACTCAGCTAGTTCAGGCCTTTACACCTTATTCTACACTGCTGTTCTTCTGTGTCTTACCACACACTGATCTTCAGCTTTCCCTGAGCACTTACCATGCTTCTGCAAATAAGCAGTGGTGTCTCTGACCACCAGAGGAACAGGAGACTGATCAGGGTTCTTCTCCCTGAGACTGTGGGAAGAGAGAAAAGGTTACAAATTACTGGTCTTCCTTGCCCTGCATGCAGCCCCCAAGTCTTGAAGCTGCACACACAGGCTCTACCACATAGGATCTTGCTATCCCAGTCCCTGCTTTAGCCATTATTCCAGACCTCTCTCCTCTTCACCCACCATGATACATCATTCACTGGAGGAATTATGAGCTCATTACTACACCACAGGAATATTCCCCTATCTTCTGTAAATATCATAGCATGTAGCTGCCAGGGCAAAGGGGTTCCAAGAAGCCAAGGCTGCTAGTTATCAATCAGGTGAAAAGGCTCAAGCTTCCTTCTTCCTTGCCTGTAAGAGCAAGGGCAGAAAGAAGGTGACATGAGAGAAATATAAATGGGGTAGGTTTACCCATTTCCCTCCCGTAAGAGAAGATATATCAACCCAATGACTGACAGGGAAGATCCTGTGATACCAAGGTGTTTGCTGCCACCCTCACATTCAATTGTCTATACCACTTAATAACATGGAGCTGTTCACCCCTCTCATGCTACCGACAAGCTCAGGCACACAGCACCACAGGGGTTACATTTGGAGATGTTGTGCTGAAGCACAGGAATGTGTTCCCAGATTGTTTTCAGAGGATCTGTTTGGCCACACAGTACTGGCTCCTCCTCATTCCCCAGGGAGGCAAAAATCACACTCAAAGTTAAAAATACCTTCAACACTTAGCTGGTATCACTGGCCCTTTGCAATGTCTGTTTGCCTATGTCACCATGCAGGAATGGGGGCTGGCAATCAGTACAAGAGTGAATAGAAGTGCTTTTAAAATAGAATTTAAGATATGGAAAAAACTAAGAAAGATCTCCAGCTCTGCTCAGTCAAAACAGCATAACCCTAAAGACATTTCCATAAGCCTCCCACAAACTTCCTTTGCTTCCAGAAGTTTCTAGCAACATAAAGCCATCTCCATGACCCTTATTTTGCTCCTCCCTTAGTGACCCTTAGCTGAAGAAACAATCTCATCCTAGTTTAGATACAATCTAGCTGGGGAATTAAGAGGGTGGAACTGAACTGAGTCACTCAGGATCTGGACATGACTGCAGAGTTCCTCAGAAGAATGATTAAAGCTTTGTAGGAAGTCTGTACTGCAAGAAAACTTACAGCCACTTTTGCAACTGTTCAGTTAGAAATACAGTGATCTCATATCAAGCAAGTCAGGGCAAAAGCAAAACAATCCAGAGATACTCACTGCTGGAGCGAGACTCCAAACTGTTGGTTTGGCAGTGGTGGGCGTGGAGGTATTGACCTCTGGGGCACTTGTGAAGGCTTCTGCAGGGATCTCAGATATTCATCATATCTGCAGCAAAACACAGACTAGTAAAAAGCCACTCAGCCTCCCAGAAGGAGCATGCACCCAGCACTGTATCTGACCCACTGCACACCCACTGGTAACAGCTCCACCTAGCTTGATAGGTTCCACCTATGCAAAAACAGGACAAGCAGCTCTGGAGAACAGGGGCAACAAGAACAAACATCTGCTTACCAGAAAAAAAAAACCACCAAAAAACAGGGAAAAAGGAATATCCACCTGGAATCAGAAACTGGAGTAGCTGAGGATGACAGAGAGAATGGGAAGGAGACCAGGACAGCATTGCTTGTGATGAGACAGTTGCATGTGTGTGTGTGAGGGATAGGGTATCAGCTTGGTAGGACAGAGTTTATGGGAACTTTGGGAAGCCCCAGAGACAAGCTGAACTGCACAGTGAGGAAAGTAGGTGCACAGATGCAGCAGATGTGCACCATGAGCTCCAGGTCAGTATGAAGGTCAGCAGCTTACAGGAAGCCTGAGGGATGAGTTGGGAGAAGCAAGGATTGGAAGAGGATTTTTAACTCAAGGGCAGAACTGGATGCCAGGGCCAAGGACATGCAGGAAAGGAACATGAAGAGAAACAATGGTCTTTAAGGCAATCTGTCACTACTCCTTTCAAAATCACTGCCTGAGTGAAACAATCTCTCCCTCCTCTTGCCATTCCTTCAGAAAAGTCCCCTCCCACAGAGCCCTAAGCAAATGGGAGACAGGTAGCATTCTCACTTCAGCACTTGGCTTGGGATCCCCAACTGTTCCAGCTTCACATACTCCTCCAGCTCACTAAGGAAGTTCACATAAAAAATTTTTCGTCCAAACTTAAAGCTGAAAAACAAGAGAAAAGCAGGTATGTGAGGAATCAGGAAATCCAGGATCAGAATGGACTTTTTATGGGCAAGGAGGTCTGCAAAAGATATCAACGGGCCAAAGAGGCAGGTATGGCTGAGCAGCAGAGATGCCACCCACACAGCTCTTCAACTTAATATATCTTACCAGGAGATGTAAAGACCTTCCAAGTCACATTAGAAGCCCAAGCAGCAGCAGGCTCCCTAAAATGCTGGCCTTCTCCTTGCTAAATTCAGCAGTAGACTGGAGGAAGTATTGTTATCAACTGTTTTACAGAGTTAGAATTTCAGCATCAACACCATGAATTAAATATAGTTTGGATTGATACTCTCACTTCCTTATTCATGATTAGCCTGCAATACTTCTGTTTGGCTGAATAGAAAGAGAGAAGCACAGAGCTGCAATCTCTAGCTTCCCAAAACAGTACTTTTTGAGTCTGAGTATTTCTGAACTCAGAAACAGGAAAAGATAGCATAGAGAGACTCCAGGGTGGGCTGGGCAGCCTGGACTCATCTTGTACCCCACTGAAAACACCCCATTATTCCCCTGCAGTGTAAGGATGTGGGTGAGCCTCTTATAGTGCCTCCTACCTGATCAGAGGCTTGAAGAGAATCAGCAGAGTCTTGATGAACATGGTTGGGTGTACAATATACAAAGCTTTGATGTTCTTCTTGTACCTGCCAAGAGAAGCTAAGGATGAGCTGCACTTCAAGCAGAGTAACCACCCTTTTCATAAGATTAAGGCACCCCGGGTGCTCCATTCCTTTTGCACTGAACCTCACCACTCCCAAGCACCCACAGCTTCTGCTCTCCCATGCTTCATAGCTGTGTCAGCAACCTAAGGGCATGTTCTGCTGTATTCCAAGATTCACTGAGAGTAGTGAGCAGCCTCACCAGAAAGCTGATGTGGGGCTGACATACTTGCACTGGGTCCTGGTTTTGCTGCTTGCCTATTGGCCTAAAGGATGTAACTACAGAAGGAGCTGTTTATCCTGTGATTCAGCCTGCATTAAACAACAACCCACCTCCACAAGCAGCAGAAATAAGTGATAGTAAATTATGATCACCAGGCTACACAGGGGGCCTGGTGAAGATCTCCTCTGTCAGGCAGCATAATGTTATGTCCTTGCTTGGTGCAGCCTTACTTACTTGCGATCAAATTCCCTGTAGGCATCCCGCAGCCAGCTCAGGGATGGCTTGTTCTCACTGGTCAGGCCATGGTGCAGGTACACCAGTGTGTAATCACTCTCCACATACTGGTCCAGTGTGAATTTCAGGTACCTGAGAAGAAACAACTGCTGAACTCACTTCGAGGCTTTTCCTCCCTTTAGGACCCATTTTTGTGTGCCATAACAGAGGACTTTTATCCCCAGTAACGAAGGTGAGCACTTCTGGGAGGACAAGTCCAGCTAAAGAAGCTAATGCAGATCACTCCCATTCCAGGACTCCAGCACTCAGGCATTATATCAGGCTTAAGAAGTTAACAGCAGCCTCCCAACACTCTACTCACCCCAGCAGTTTCACATGATCAAGTTGATGACTTGGTGGCATTCGACAGGCACTGAACAAAATTACTTTCCTTCCATATTTGTCATCACCTGCAGATGAAATGCCAGAGATTACAGGGATTTTAAGGAATACGTTGTGGTCTTGGCAGCAAGGGGTAAACTGAGAATGGGACACCACCATGACAAGGCAGAAGTCAGGATTGCCACAGCCGCCAGCAGAGCCAAACCTTATTTTCAGCAGTTACCATGGGCCTAATATGGAAGCAGAACCCTGAACACCAAGGATCTGGCAAGTCAACAATGCAAATAGAGAACAGAGTCCATGCTCCAGCCGTGAATGAAGGGGAAGGATTGGAAGCTGAGATGCCTCAAGGCATGTAGGGATGGACACTTCAAGGACAGAGCAGAGTGCTCAGAGCATTGCCCCCCACAGGCACAATAACCACTCCTACACATAGTCCCAGAGTAACTGCTTGTGGTCTGGTGCATTTGTTTCTTGCTTCACCTGGAGCTTATTCCCACACACAGTACAAAGCCATTTCATACACTGGAAACCAAGAAACTCCTAGAAATAAGGCAGTCCCAGCCACATCCCAGAGATGAGAAGCAAACATCATTATAAGCCTCTTCTACAGATGGACTAAGCAGGGCTGCTGGATTCTCCAGAAGGACTGCCAAACAAGCTGTTCACTGTTTCCTAGATTTTCCATCCACAGAGATATTTTTCCAGCCTGAGCTGGAAGAATCTCCAAAGTGCAGCACAACAAAGCATCTTATGCAAAAACTCAGCAGAAAACAGTCCCCATTACACTAGAGCTAAACATCTCATAAAGCATCTTCATCTCAGGCAAGACATTCCCAGCTACCTCTCCAGTCTTTGTAGACAACAAGCCAAGTTTTCCCCAAAGCAAGTCTTCATACATCAGTGGACTTCTGCCAGTAGACAGACATACGTCAGCTGCATGAACAAAACCCAAGCAGATGGGCATGGACAAGCTTAGCAGACATGCCAGGGGAATGGCGAGATTTAGACAAGTAAGAACCAGGTCACAAATCTTTTGGACATATGGAGTTGAAGCAAAAGTCCCGTTCCCTCCCAGACACAACACCCAGTCAATTTCCATAAGGATGACTTGCTTGTTAGCACTCAGTGGTGATTAACTGGTTCCTTTAGTGTGAAGGGTTAAAGTCTTCCCATCTTTCCTGGAGCATGAAGCTGCGGAAAGGACTACTGGGATTACACTCAACAACACCCTCTTTTCTCCCCTACAGGACAACCATCCCATACAGACCACAGCACAGAAAAGCAGCAAGAATTGCTATGTATGCAGGACAGCCCTGCAATATGTCATCCCTCTTGAAAGATATCCTTTCCCCTACATTGATTTACAATAGTGAGAGCATGTAGCCATTTCCTCACCTTTTCATGGGCTCTGGCCCTCAACTACCACTTGGTTATACTTGCTGTCCAGAAACTGAGATCTCAAACTGAACCCTGGAACAGCAAACCTGAGGTTTCTGGGAACACTGCCTGTTAGTCACAGATGACTAGCTGGTGCTGCAGATGGCAGCCAGAGAGATTGCATACACCAGCCACAACAGTAATATGCCACTAACCTTCTTTTACCCCCATCCTGGCCAGAAGAACAGATGCTCTTGCTACTTCTTCACCTACGTTTTCCCCTCCCAAGTACCCTTTTCAAGTCACTCACCAGACAACACAAGAGACAGAATTTTCTAAGGCACGCAAGCCAGAACCTCTACAAAAACTAGGAACACTGAGGCAGCACTAGGTACAGACCAGGAAAGGGGTGGCATAGGCCATCACATTGACATATACATGCAGAAGTAAGGAGCAATTGGGAAGGACACATGACCCAGGATGCAGGACTAGGAGAGAGCGATGCAAGGCTCTTCTGGAACAACCAGATACAGTCACAGCCAGGCCACAAGACCAACATTACATTGCATATCCCACGGTAGCCCATTCTCTGCCTAGCCATGAGTTTCTTGCTATGAGCTTTAGGGCTGGGTCTAATACACATAAGCTATATATAAAACAAAGGTGCAGGCTCCAAAATCCTGGGCAGGGAATATGGTATATTGCAGTTCTTCCCAGTGGTCTCAGGCCACTCGTGTTTCCATCTGGAAGACAAAGCATCCTGCCTGCACAGAGCAGCAAGAAGATGACAGCATCTGAGAATCTGTTTAGTTTTGCACTGATGAAAAAGAATGGCCAGAAAGACTACAGATCTTTGCAGATCATAGCTCTATTCTCAAGTCAGAATAGGTGCTATCTTCAGTTAGCTGGGAGGCTGCATTTCACACCAGAGTGGATGGCCTGAGGGTCAGAAGCAGACCGCAAGCTTGGTCAAGGCAGACCTTGGTTGTGAAGAACTGCCGCACACATGTTCATGTTATGCTGTGGGTGGCCACCCACTCACCTCAGGCTCCTGTGCACTGATTTCCAGACCTGACAAGTCACAAGTCAGGCACCACATAGCTTAAACACCTGCCTCTGGAATAACAGGAAAGCCTATGGCAGGGCCTATGCAAAGTATAGCACCCCATTCCTTACATAGCCTTGGTAAAAAGCTCAGGAATCCCTAGTAAAGAAAGAACCGACAATCCACAATTCTGCTGAAAGGGAGATGGCATGTTTCCCCAGATAATTACCAGGGCCAAGTATACCAAAAGATAATCTACAGTCCTCTGCCTGACTGACAAAGGAGTGACCCATTTTGCCTTCGAAATAAGAATGACTTTATGTGTGAGGCCTACACGGGAGTCAGCACATCCATTACTGATTTCTGGGTTTCACTCGAGTTTCATTGCACTGAGCTCAACCTGCCAATACAGACACTTTCAAAACAACCACCTACCAATCTTACTTCCACTCACATATATCAGAACTGCCTGGTTCCTCCAGACATGACAGAATTCAAAATTCAGCAAAGCTGAACCATCAGTTGTTTTAATTTATAAACAAGAACCTAAAGCCCATTCCGTGCATTCTTGGCTGTTGGAGGAAGCTGCCTGCAGGTGGCCTCTCTGTCTCCTACTGAACAGATTCTTATCGCATTTGATCTCTCCCAGATGCTCCATCCCTGTACTGTTTGCTTTCCTGTTTGCAATATTAATCTCATGTATCTAGGTTTTCATCCCCTGTTTACAATTGCAAATAGCTAAAGTTTCCATTGCACACAACTAGAGACCATGAAGTAATCACCGCTCAGCTTCCTAGGCTGGCTCCTACCTCTCCCAGATGAGGAATGCTCAATAGTTAACAACAAACCAATAATAAAGCAACTATATACTATCAGTACTCACAGAGTGCTCCAACAATGTGCATACCTTTGTAAATTCATACATAAAAAATATTTTCAGTCTACACTGGAATTAAACTACCTCCCTATAGTATCTAATTCAGATTTTATTATTTTTTTTAACAACAAAGAGCAAGACTGTAGTCAATATGCAAAGCCTCTCCAGTCAAGACAGCTCATCTAAAAGAGACAGTAAGTTGTAGTACTGATGGACATGCTAATTCTCCTGAGCATTGTTATGGTGCTTTTAAGGCCCAAACATATTCGTCCTCCCACCTAAAAAGCAGCACTTCCAGTGCATTTCTGAGACAAAGTGCAAGCAACATCATTGCTGTGGTTCCAAGCCACCAGTGCAGGACCATACTTCTAAAAGGGCAGAAGTTGAAAAACTGAGGCTAATGTTTCAAATGGAAACGTGCAGCAATACAAATGTGTCAGAGCACAAATTCATATCAAGTACTTTATTGAGACAGGACTGTCAATTAAATGATTCTGTACAGCCAAAATGGAAAATACATGCTTGACTTGCAAATCCTACTATCTTTTTCTAGGTATTTATCCTGAAATACATCCGTTAGCCTTTATTCTATGATGGGAAGCTGTCATACTACTCACTGGCAGCAGAACTGCAGTCCAGGGACTCTGTTCCTACCTTGATCAGGTATCTTTGTCTGAGGGCCTATCATGACAAAAGAGTCAAGCGGGAATATACTGGTTCTTTGACACCAAGAGAATGCTGATAGATAAAACCTGCCACCCAAACTAGTGTTATTGCTAAAACAGCAAAGTTAGCAGAATTCAGAATCAAGGAAAGGACACCACTACATAATTCTGGAACATTACTACACAAGTTTCACAGAGCTTTGGATGTTTATCAGAGCCACTGTCATTAAAAAAACTCTCTAATGTAACTTCAGGTTCCTGCCAAACTTATGACATAGCTCAGCAGTGTTCAAGGGCAGTGTTTTAGCTGCCTGTTTAACTCCAAAATGGATTTAGCCTCTCAGGAAAAGAAGGTAAGGACCTCAACATAGAAGTATTTTAATACACGACACCTTCCATCTAGATATTCTCAATATTCAAACACTGCCAGAATCATAAACCCTTCCTTACCAAGTGACTATAGCTCTTAACTGGAGGGACAGATTAAAGAATGCAAAATGGGAGGATGCCTCAGAGCATGACAAATGGGGGAGAAGAGGCCACACAATGAGGCAGTGAGGATCAACATTTCCACGGCCTGCACAAAGGTCTTGGCCTGCTGTTCAGAAACAGTAGAAAGAATATCACACCAAAGGAAGTCTTCATCTACATTGAGAAGTGTGTAAGCACCAGGAGTCAAATTCTTAAGGCTTGGGACCGAAGTCCAGAGAGTACTAACAAATGCTCAGCAAGCACAGTCTAGCACAGCTTCAAGCTAAAATAAGGAATGAGTTACCAAAACACAACATCTCTGAAGCCAAATGGAGAAGAAATAGATACCAATCACTTTCCGCTGGAAAATCTAGTGTAACTGCCAACTGCTCAGCACTTGAGCACAGCAGCAGATCATATGAAGGAACAGGAAGCAATCCTAGGATGAACTTCCAAAGCCCACATGACAAGGAGGTAAATCTGAGTTCAAACTGAACTAGTCCCAAGCAGGCCACCACCATGACAGAAGAGGAACAGGTTTTACACTCAGACCCAAGAGCCCCAGAGTGCCTAAAGTAAAGCCCACATGCCAAATTTGGCTCAGATGATTCTGCTGCACCCAAGGCAGAG